AACTTCTTAGGTCTATTACACTCTTTATACTAGTAAATTTAGCATGTATATATGATGTTATATTAGCACTATATATTATAAACATCTAAGATTTTATCTCTCAAATAATGCAATAATATATGCAATAACAAGAATCATTAAAAGTTTAATTCTCAAAATATGCAGAAAAATTGAGACTTTAATGCATTTTTAATTAATAAGTTCTCTGAACTTGTCTTGACTATATAGCTGCAACCACTGGCAAAAAACCATAAATTGGGAATAAATAAGACTTGATTTTTATTTTTTTTCTATCAATATGCTAAATCCCAGAGCCAATTGTTATATATTTGGATCAACGAGGGAAGAAAAAATTGTTATGTAGGAGGAAGATTAGTTATGTTACTTCTTTTGAAGTTCTAGTTTTGTAATTTGTTTCTTGTTTTTATGTCCAATTCGAAGCGAACCATTTAAACTCTGCTTGCATGAGCTTGATCAGATTGTTAGTTTCAAGTCTAGATTTAAAAAAAAGAAAGACCTAATAGTTTGTGGGTGCAGTGACAAATTCTGAGAGATCAATTGTCAAAACCCTTAAACTTTAAATTTTAAATCCGCCTATATTTTAAGTTGTGAATTAAACTTATTATGGATGTTAAATATGCTTATTTAGTTATAGGTGATCTAATAGGGGAGAAAAATTCTTACAATCGTCAATAAATAAAAGTTAAATTCACTAGATAAATGACACGATATTTATTATATTTATGTATATATAATAAAGTCATAATACATATATTGGACCCTAAATTTGGCTTCAAATTTCAACTTTGACCTCCAACTTTCATAGTGCACAAACATGCACTTTAACTATCCAACCTTTTAATAAATAAACACGCGATTTTTGGAGCCAAAGAGTGTGAAATGCAAACGCTTCCACATGTATTAGTGAGCCACTCAATGGCTGCCAACTAATTAAATACTTTACACGTCCATTTTAGAACTTAAAAAATAAATTAATAAAGGGTAGAGTTGTCATTTCAACATTTTTTTACTGTTGTGGGCCTCAAAAATTACTCCTAACTCGCGCAAAATATGTGCACATCACGCGTTTTGCCAGGTAAGACACGTGTGTTTATTTATTAAAAGGTTGAATAGTTAAAGTGTCTGTTTGTGCACTATGAAAGTTGGAGGTCAAAGTTAAAATTTGAAGCCAAGTTTAAGGTTCAATATATGTATTATGCCTATAATAAACGTTGAATTTACTTGTTTGATGTGTTTATTTCTATTTTGAATCCCTTTAGTGATAATTTAAAATTTTTGTTATTGTCTGATAGTGAAAAATTATTTTACACTATGGTATGTTATGTGTTCTATTATAATGTAGAGTAATGAAACACTTGAAATAGCAAAGGTGATATATTGATTTTTTCAGAAGTATTCTCTAAATATTTCCTGTTTCATGTATTGTGTCATTATCTTTCAGTCCTCTCCAGTTTTGTTATTTCCAAAACTTGGATAATTTATTCATTCTCTACTTTTTTTCTTATTTCGTATTCGATATTTAATTAAATTCTAATTAAACTACAATTCATGAGGGAAATTCTCATAAAATATCGTAAAGAGTTTTTTGATAAAGACGACTTTATACTCGAGATTTTTTTGATAATGTATTTATACTCCCAAGGCTCCCTAAATAATCTCTTAACTAGATAATCTATGTACTCAATTCTTTTATTTTTTGTTTCCATTCCAACATCAATATACTCAGTGATTTTTACCTCTAGCTTATGTAGATATAGATATTACTTTTGATAAACAATCGATTTAAGTAAAACATATCAAAACAGACAAGAAAAAGGAGTACAAACTCTTGAAACTCAAATTATAACGATCTGATTAAATTTGATTCACTCTAAAAAGTCTTTTATTGAGGTTAAAGAAAACTCTCTAACAAAGATAATGTCATACATTAGATACACACCTAAAATCTTTAATTAAAAATGAAAAATAACTTACTATTCTACTGTAACCTTTTTTTCAGATTTTTTGATAAAAGAAAAAAAATCTTAATTTTTTTTAAATAAAAATCTTGTGATGTATGATGAGGCAATTTGATATGACTAGTAACTGAGATCACAAAGCTATGTACTTGTCTAGTTTTCATTTCAAATATCCTAATTTAGAAAATCTGAACCATGTATTTTGCTTAAAGTATGTTCTCTTTATAACTATGAATGGTATAATACATTTTTTTCAGACTTTATTATATAACTTTTCAGAGATTGTTGGAAAAATAAATATTAATATTATTAGCATATTATATATGCTTCAATAAATGTGTTGTTCAACAACAAGCAACACAGGTTGATGACGTTTTTATGACATAAAAGCTTTTTAGGTAATTTTCAGAAATTATCAAATGACAACTTAATAATTAGTTGACCAACCCTTCCAACAACTACAAAGTATCAATGTAATTTCACAAGCGAAATATCGAGATGAATAAAGTGTACGTAAATTTTATTTCTAATTCGTGAAGATAGATAAATTCTCAGTTTAAGTTCATCAATTAAAAATAGTTAGGAACGAATGAATACAATAATAAAGAAAATATGACAATTATTACAAAAAAAGATCAGTAATATCAACGTCATTTGGTATAAATATCAAAAGATAAGAAATTACATGAATAAAGCTAATACCACAATGTATAGTAGAAAATTAGTATGTAATTGAGTATTGTTTCACTTTTCAATAGGATGAGCTTGATGGTTATCTGGAGCGCTAAGATCATGTTCTCAGTAAAAAAACAAAAACTTACCAACTCTTCAGAACTTATATTATGTAGCATGGTTGGTACAATGGAAGTTAATAATTTTCATTTATATACATTAAATATTAATATTAGTTATACTAGCAAATCAAAAAATGTTTTGATGGAATTTAGAGTAAGAAAGATTAATGATATTGATAAGTATTAGTTGGAGAAATTATATATTATGATTAAAAGTTAAGATTATTCTAAG